CGAGGCCCCCCCAAAATGCCCCAGCAGGCGCTGGATGCACATGTCTTTGCGCAGCTCTCCCTCGCGAGGCTCCAGAACGAAGGGTCCGGCGCTCGCTCACCGAGGCACTGCATGGGCTCGGCGTCTGCATTCACATCTTCTTGCATGCCCTTTTTTTCTGGCGTGTCTTCGGCATGGCATGTTCTGCCGATGCGCCGTCAGGGCGCGGCTCTTGCCTTGCCTTGCTTTCCCCTCAAAACGACGAAAGCGCTGATGATGAAATTGCCAGCTTCCCCACTCAGGGAAAGGGGACTCCACCATGCTAAGCACCAGGCGCGAAGGAGAAGGAATACAAAGCAAGGAAGCGGGGGCAGAGAGGGGGGGAGAAAGGAGGAAGCGATGTGCCTAATGCGGCAAAGCGCTGGATAGACGTCTGTCAACACCCAGACCCCGCCGTCCGACGTCGCGTTTGTTCTTTCACAGCATCGCCTCCAAGAGGTCTGGACCCTTTCCTGAGTCTTGAAGGCGGCTAGGGGTCTGACCTGGTTGGCGCTCCAGAAAATCGACCAGCATCGGGGATGAAACCAAATCTTATCAAAATCAGCCTCTGGACCCCTCCCGATGTCCATCTGGTGCAATCTTTCACCCCGAATCCGTCTTTAACGGTCCCGGAGCCCGAAGACGGCCCCCGGAGGCCGAAAAAGGCAGAAAACCTCCCCGAACCCAGAACCTTGGACCTCGCCGCCCTCTCCTCCTGCTGGCCGGAACCAGTGCTTGGCCCCCTCGGACCCCCAGCCGGCTCCAGCCCGAGTCGTCTTTTATACGGTCCCTGGGCCAAGCAGGAGAGCCTACCCGGGGCCGAACTCTATACACCGACGCTGTTTTCGGCCCCGCACTGAAACTCACACAGGAAAGCGGATCCTGGTGTATACGGGATTCTGGTGTATACATTTTTCGTTGTCTCCTGGGGAAAACGGGGAAAAAGTATACACCACACCACCCCGATGTCATCCCCGACCCTACCAAAAAATCCGGGGATTGAAAGACGGCCCGCCACTGGTAATGTATATGCTCCAGCTTCCGGAGGAGAGCCTACCCGGGGCCGAACAAGGCAAAACATCCTCCGCCGTGCATCTGTTTCTCGCGACGGGGCAAGCCCAGGCTGCGCGGGCCGCTGAGCCTCAAGGCAACGACGCTGGGGGTCACCACCAAGGAAGTCGCCAACCTTTCCAGGAAACGGACCTCCCTAGTTGAAGGGGCCCACAAACACAAATAAATACACACAAATCCCAGGATTCCCTATATTTTCACATATTTTCGGGGTTTCTGTCTTCCCCCCCACTTCCCATAGTTTTGCATATTTTCCCGGGAATCGACGATTCATTGTGTCTGTGTGTGTTTTTGTTTTTCCCTCCTGACCAGTAGAAGACAGAGAACGTTGCACGTATTGGCACCGATCCTGGCCAGGCCCATCCTGGACCCAGGATCTGTGCATACGCTCTCCTGGCTTAGCCAGGGAGGCATGTACACCGATCCTGGGCCCATGATGTGCCTGGCCAGGGTTGGCGTTGGTGCAACATTATTTTCTCCCGACCAAAACCGCCCCAGAGGCCTCCAGGACCCCCGACGACGTGCAATCCGAACAGCACCCACCCGTGCTCCTCGCGCTCGAAGCGGTGGCGACCTCCCTGGTGGAGGGGGGGACGACATAGGCCCCCGGCAGCGAAACGGTGCGCTCCTGAGCGGGGTGGGCTACCGGGACCCCCTCGGAGATGAGCGGGCGACGCACCCCCCCCCCACCTGACCCTAACTATTCCCCCCCCATGCCTTACCCCTGGGCTTACGGCTCTTAGCTCGGCTCTCCCGCGGCCCTTCGAGACGTTTCCGGACCCCCCCCTGGAACGCTCCCGACGAGGCGCAGCTGTGATCCCAGGCGCCCGACGTCAATGCGGGGCCCTGGGAGTCCCGACCCTTTCCCCAGGGCCAGTGTTGCAGCCGGAGTCGTTTTTGGAGGGCCCCCAGGCCAGACGAGGGGCCCCAGAGGCAGACAAAACCTCCACGCTGATTTCTGCCACCAATGCGATGGAGGTCTGGAATCCCTCCCCAACGCGGCCCCTGACCCCCGCGGGGGCCGCCCAATGGTGACTGACGCACTGGCGCTACCTGAGCCTACCGGAACGACCCAGGAACCCCTGGAACGCTCTCAGCGAGGCGCAAGGGCTAGAAGGCACCCCGAAGCTGAAGGCCGCCGAGAACCGCCGGACGAGGGGGAAGCGGATGACAACGTCCGAGATCCGAAAACGTCCTTCCCTGAGCCTACCGATCCCCTGCTGCCCCTGACCGCCGCAGAGGCCGCTCAGTGGTGGCCAGCACTGCTCGGGGACGCACTGACCTGGGTCAATGCAAACCCGGGTCAGTCAAGCTTTGCAAAATCCTGCAGGATCCTGCCCGCTACGTCAAGGTCAGCGCACCCTGGCCCTGCAGGATCCTGCAAGATCCGGCGCTCTGGCTGACCCCCGTTTGCATGGACCCCCGCCCCAAAACACCCGACCTGGCCGATCGACCGCTTCCCAAGGGACCACCGGTGTTTCATCCCGAGTCGTTTCTCGAAGGTCCCGAGACCCGATAAGGGCCTCCAGAGGCCGAAAGCTAGGAACCACTTCCGTCCTGATCGGGGATGGACAGAACCCCCTCTATAGCAGAACGTGGTCTAGTGAAAACGACCTCGTGCCCAAACCTGGCGGGCGCAAGCTTTGGGAAAAGCACGGCCGCGGCGCCCTCTCGAGAACCGAGGAACGGACAAATCGCGCATCGACGCGTCCTGGTGGGGGGTCTGTCCGCCCCCGACTTTGCACTTATGGGAGGAGGAGGAGGGGGAGGAGGAGGAGGGGGAGGAGGAGGAGGAGGAGGAGGAGGAGGAGGAGAAGAGAGGAGAAGGAGGAGGAGGGGGGAAAAGGAGGAGGAGGAGGAGGAGAAGGAGAAGGAGGAGGAGGAGGAGGAGGCGGAGGAGGGAAAAGGGGGTGGAAGGGCGGAGGAGGGCGGGGCGCCCCGCGCGTGGCTGCGGGGCGCCCCGCGGAGGGCCCCGCCGAGCGGCGGCCGCCCGGCGGTGGCCGGCACCGCCCGAGGCCCGGCCGCCTGCCGGGCCCGCCGCTGCCGCCCGGCGCCCCGCGGAGGCCGCCCGGGGCGGGCGGCGCGGGCGCCGCGGGCAGCTGCGGGGGCGCAGGCAGCGGGCTGGCCCCGGCGAGGCCTCGGTGCGGGCGTGGGCAGGCCCAGGTTATAAAGTGGGGCCTGGTCTCTATAGTGATGGCGGCGAGGCCTCGGCTCCGGCGTAGGCAGGCCCGGGCTCCGAGTGGGGCGCCCCCCCCCCCTGCCCCAGTGCACGAAGCGGAATGGCCGTAACCTGAGAGGCATCAGCTACGGCAGGCCTGGTGCAGCGACTCCACTCCATATTTTGGGCTCCGGGGGCCAATCACTGACCGGCTCCCCTTAACCGGGGCCATGGCTATACCCGATTGGTGTCGAGATCCTGGTGTCTCGATCTGTGACTTTTTGCGATCCTGTATTTTTTGTTGCAACGTCGGATCTCAGGGTCTGGTGGATCCCTCGGCCGATTCTGGGGCAACTCTCGTCGCGCTTCGCCCTCCGGGAGGCGCGGAGCGCGATAATTTCTTCGCGCTTTCGCGCCACCCCCTAGCCCCACCCGACCGGAACAGGATCCTAGGGACTCGCGCCTCACTCTGGCATCGCCCAGACCGCGAAGCGCGAACGCGACTAACTTCATACCCTCGTGGCGGCCCTAGCCGATCACGCCACCCGATCCCCAGACCCGGGTCAGGGAAAAAACACGACGGAGGTGTTTCGCTAAATGTTGGGCCTCGGGAGCCCTGACCGGGCCTCGGGACCGCCAGAAACGATTATGACGAAAAGCTGGCCCCAGGGCCGACGTTCTGAACAAGCAAATCATGGCGCCGGGGGTTTGCGTCACGTGTTCGGGCATTGGCAAGACTGGGTTTAGTATCTAGTGGGACCTGGTTCATAGTGGGGTGTGCTCAGGGACGCCCTTCCCGCAACATTCCACTAACCGGAACTGCCGTTGTCCGAAAAAACAAATTATAACGGAGACCTGGTTTGGCAATTGTGGCATTTTTGTGTGAGCGTCGGGGCCCAATCACCAAACCGGCTCCCCTTGCCCGGGGCCCTGGCTATATCCGACCGATCGCAACCCTGATCACCATGGCAACCGCGCCGATCACGCATCGATCACGCATTCAAGCTCGGACGATCGCGTAATCCCGCGATCACTGCGATTTGTGATCGTCGATCAAGTGATGAGCGAAGACTGGGGTCGAGGCCCTCGTCCGGCGCAACCGCCCACGTGTCTGGCACAGAGATCCTGCGGAGCCACCCCGTCCGCTTTCGGAACTCCTTTCGCCGCGGCCACACGTCGCGACGGGAGCTTGGTGCTTTGTCGGGCTCAGTGCTTGCATTCAGGGGCTCTCCAGTACGTCGCTGACAAATTGGACGGCTCCGCCGAAGATTCGCCGCGTCGTCGCCCGTGGCTGCCTTGTGGCCGCCTCGTTGCCGCCGACCTGTTGGTTGAATCCGCCGAAGCTTCGCCGCGTTGCCGGCCGCGGCCGCGTCGCGGCCGCCTCGTTGCCGCCCACTTGTAAGGTCCAACGAAGGTTCGCCAGCAGCCTATAGCTTACACAACACAGCTTGCACCACATAGCTTGAACCACATAGCCTAAACCACATAGCCTGCACATTCACCATGGAATAACTTGCATACTGGCTGGTGCAAACTAGTATTACATATTTTTGCCGGCCTCTATGGGATCTTTAACTTGGGCTCTGCGGCCGACAAACAAATATTCGTGATCAAACCCAGCCCCGGAGGAGTCGTTGAGACCTCCGAAGACCCAAGATGCAAAAGAAACCCAACGTCGGTCCTCGCTAAACAACAAGTTTTCCCGAACATTACAAAACAGTCGATCGACTGGCGGGGCGAGCGGCGCTGGCGAGAGCCCAGCCACTCAGAAACCCTGGGCATAGCCCGCTATCTCGGGCTCCTCCACGACGGCCTTGTAGTTCTGCCGGTCGTCTGCCTGCTGCCTGCATCCTTGTCGAGGCCGCTCTCCGTATTCTTTCCGC